TCGATCGGTCGATCGGTCGATTAATCGATGAATCGTTTGTTGTCGTAGCGAATATTTAATTCAGGAAGGTTAATAAACTTGATAATTTTCCTTGAAATTAAAAAACCCGCGCTTGTTTTTTTTTTATTTTTATTTTTTAATTTTTTTGTTAATAAATAATTGGATGACGACCAAATTATAATTAAAAATAATAATAATAATAATAATGATAATAACAACAACAAAAAATAAGCAAACAAACAAACGGGAAATAAAACAAAAACAAAACAAAAATAAATGAAAAATTTGCTTTAATTACATATATATATATATATATATATATTTGCGTGTATTGTATATGTTGTCACATTACTATTATTATTATTATCATTATTATCATTATTATTATTATTACGTTTTATTATATTTTAATTTTAACCATTGATTAATTTTTGATTGTTTATTATTAATAATAATTATTAATTTTTTTTTTTTTAAATAATTGTTTCGTACGTTTATAATAATTAAAAATTATAAAATTTATATAAATTTTAAACGTGTTTTTATTTTTTTTCTTTTATTATTATTATTATTATTATTATTATTATTTAAAATATTATTATTATTATTATTATTAAAAATTTAACGTTTAAAAAATTATTATTATTTTTCTTCATTTAAAAATTTAAATTTTAAATAAGTAAATGATAAAAAAATGGAGAGAAATTTTTTTTTTTTAAAATAAAAACTACGTCGCGTTTGTATGTTTGTTTGTTTGTTTGTTTGTGTTTTTATTTTTTACATATTTTTCAAGTACGATATGCAAAAAGTAAAAACATTCTTTTTGGTGAAAATGGCAAAACGATTATAAAAAAACTAAAAACCGGTTTTTAAAATGATTACGAATTTTACCGTGAACTCTATTATAATATTAACGATGATGACGACGACTCGTTTTAATTTTAACGTGGGTTGTTTGTCGTTGTTTGTTGTCGTTTGTTTCTTTATTTCTAGCTAACGAAAAAACTAATTTTTTAATTTATTTTAAAACGACGACGATATAATTTTTCCTCGTTAACAAAAAAATTATTTAACAAACAAACGTCGCCATTTTTTTTTTTTTTTATTATTTTAATACGTGGATAAAACGGACAATTTTTTCTTTTAATATTTCCCCCCCCCCTTGTTTTTTTTTTAACTACAGGTCAAAGGTTAAGCAATAATAATAATAATAATAAATTTTAAATCAAAATTAAAAAAAATATATTATAACAATAATTAATATTAACAGTGTGCAAATACTATGATGTTGATGTTGATGAGACATGAAGACATTTTTTTTTTTTTTTTTTTTTTTTACTGTCAATTCCAACAAAAAAAAAAAAATTTAAATAAATGAAGATAATAATAATGTTAGTGATAGTGATAGTGATAGTGATAATGATGATAAAGTATGAAAAACAAAAATTTCAAATGCTTTAACTCGCTTAATTTTTTTTTTCGCTTTTTAAACAATTAAACAACATATTATTTACATCTACACACAAAGCTTTTCCAAGCCAAAATAATAATAATAATACTAAATAAATAGATAAACAACTTCCTTTTCTGTTTCTTTTACAGTGATAATAATAATAATAATAATAAGTGATAATGACTGACATGAAAAAAATTGCAAACTTTTTTTTTATTTTTTATTATTTTTATTTCAGTCGGATTTATTTAAATATTGAGATCAAGTAAGTTAAAAAAAAGAAAGAGAAATTTTTTTTCTCTTTTCTTTTCTTTTTCAATAAAAACTGAGCAAAATAAAAAATAAAAACGGATCAAAAATTATTAATATTAATAATAATAATAGTAATAGTAATAATAATACTAATAATATTAATATAATTATTTTTTTTTCAGTAGTCGTGGATAAATAATAATTTTCCAGACGGTCAACGAGAGAAAGAGCGATAGAAAAAGAGAAAAAAGCAGAAAGAGAGAGTAAGAGGGACGAGAGAGAGAGAGAGAGAGAGAGAGGGGGGAAGGAAAATCTCACTTCAACTTTTGCGGAAAATACGGGCTCGGATAAGAATTGGCCATTTTCGTGCACATTCTCACTCTTGTGCATCCGTTTGAACTTTGCGATTTCGACATGTAATTCAAATTTCCTCTTTTTCTATCTAATGATTTTCTCGTAGCAGACGAAATCCTTTTCTTCTTATCATTTACGATCGGATTTTTCGTCACGATCGCTTTCAATCTTTCTCTATCCGCCGCTATCAATTGTAATCTTGTCGTTGTTTCCGTATTGAAAAAAACTCCGTAAACTGCATCCCAAGCTGCTTCGATCTAAAAAAAAAAAAAAAAAAAAAATCATATTCCCGAATTTATTATCTATCGTCTTTTATTATTTATTTTTTTTTTTTGAACTTTGACCCCTCGTTTAAAAGAATGATAAAAAAAAGAGAAAAAAAAAATCTCAAGGACGTAAATCGCACACACTAAGCAGACGACTTTTGCAACAACGCGTGACGGATAAAAAAAAAAAAATTTTATATTTTTTTGTGTTTCTTCTTCTGATCTACCTGTCGACCTAATCTTCTCATGAGATCAATATCCGAATCTGCAATGTCGGAAGCTGAATGAAGCTGCGTGGCGCAAATTATCGCATCCTTAAGGGTTGTTATCAATCCTTGAACGTGTGCGGTTCGAAGCAATCTTCTCGTTAGGTATCCTCGAACGGCTGCCGTGATTTTAGTTGCCGCCTTGAAAAAAAAAAAATAAAATATCACCCTCGTGACGTTGACTTTTTCTTCATTATTATTATTATTATCGATTTCGAGGTTTCGTTAATTACCCGAACGTATTTATCATATTCTTCCTTTGTCAAATCTCGATATTTTTTAAATGCAACGACGGGAATTAAATCCGGTTTGTTCTCTGAGCTCATAGTCGACGATCTACTGCTAAAATTACTTATGGAATCCGATTCGGTCATACAATCATTGTTTAAAGTCGCATCTGAAATTGATTTCGTTTTAAAATACATCTTTTCGACAAAGACGAACAAACAAGGCGGTATTGGGGAAGAAAAAAAAAATAATAATAATAATAATGGCAAAACTTTTTCTCTTTGTTACCTCTGGATTGTTGTACGAATTCCTCTGGAAAACTAACATCTAAATCCGTGTCTTGATTTCCATGATTAAAATCGGTTGATCTCGCTCTCTTATTCTCATCAATAATATCTTCATAACTATAAATATGATGAAAATCTTTAGCTGAATGAGGTCTCCTACATTGCTTATAATAACTAACAAATTTTTCCTCAATAAAATTCTCTCTGTCATATTTGCCCTGACTGTGATTTCCATCACCCATTACCCTGATATCGTATTCGTTCGTTTCTGGATTCTTTGACTTGTGCGAGTACACAGATTTCCTCGATTTTTTCGGATTCAGTTGTATTTTTTTCAATAGCTCTTCTTCTTTTTTTTTAAACAATATTTCCAATTGCTTCATTTCCGTTTGTTGCCTTTCTTCCAAATCTTTTTTCTGCTTTTCGTGATTGAATTTCATTTGAACCAACAAATTGGACAATTCCGACAATTCGTTTTTAAATTCCGAAGGCACATAATCTGGGGGGTTTTGTTTTGAAATTGACGCTTGCGATTTGGTTTGGACTTTTTCGCTCGATTTCGGAGAAGGCACGCTTTTGAATAATTTACTTTTTTTTCCTTTTATTTTACATTTTAGCTTTATGGGAACCGGAATGCCTTTTCTACACTTGTAAGACTCTGGACTAGTACCACTTCCGTTTGTAAATGCTTTTTCTTCCGTCACGTCGTTTGATTCAACGTCTTGATTACTGCTCTCAAAAGTTGAGAAGTCTTCGAAAGAACTCCAACCCTTTTTACTGTCGGTTTGAACATCTTGTTCGTCGCTTGAATTTTGTCCGTTTATTGTTTTTCCATCTGCATTTTTATTGTTCGGATTCCATTTTTCTTGAGCTTTTGATAAATTCCAAGTTTTTCTCCCGGAATTTGATCTATGCACGTTTTCGTGTTTCTTTTTTTTTTCTGATTCTAGGTAACCTAACAATGCTGGACTTGGCGTTAGTAACGTGTAAGAATTTTGACGCAATAAACTAGGAGATTGGGTTATGGTATCTGGAGTGTTTTGACTATCGTCCAGCGATTTTTCTAAATTTTCATTTTGCAACGTTACTTTAAAAGAATTCAGGGGTTCTACTTTTAAAGGAGACCACTTATTGAAATCTTCTTCAGAATCGCACCATTTTTCTTCAACAATGGGAGATTGTTTATATTTATTTCTGATTTGTTTTACTGGTAAATTTTCCTCGAGAGCCAATCTTTGCTCTAATGTGCTCTTATATGAATTAAAATCTAATTTTTTGAAACTTGGCTGACTAGAATTATTTGGTGAATCTGCAATTAATGTTTTCGAGTATTCATGCAGAGATCCTTCTGTTTTTGATTTAGAGAGCAGGTAAGTCTGCCCAGGACACTTTTCATTTAAATCTAAGCTAGCAGGTCTGGCAGGAGTAGACTGTCGACTGGGAGGCAATGTTGATATTGGAGACACATCACTTGAAATTTGGTCATTCACTTTATTCTTTTGTAATTTTTTTTCTATTTCAATTGCTTTTTCCTTATACTTTCTCAATTCCAATCTTTTTTCTTCACTGATCTAAAATTGAAAAAACCAAATTTCATCGTGACAATTGTAAGTACAGGTAAGTATTATATAAATCTTATGATATGTACAAATTTTCACATATATTTAAATGCCATCTTTTACACTCAAATAATATTTAATAATGAACATAAATATGATACATAATTTAATAAATAAAAATCATGTTTATTTTCAAACAAACTTACGAGAGGAGGTAATATCGGTTTCCCATGGATTTTAATACAAGATATGTATGATGTTTTGTTTACTATTGAAGCAACCTTTAAATCGGTACAATCATCAAACTGAATGAGATCTCCAATTGAATTGTTCATTTTCAAATTTCCTAAAATAATAAAAACTTGATTGAATAACAAAAGAAATTTAAAGAAATAAACATAATTTTCTGACACTGTAAATTAAAAGTTATGTTCATGCAAGATTTATCCAGTTCAAACAATTTAATGCAATGAAAAATTTGTAACATCATATTTATTTTATGAATTTAATTGTATATCCACAACAATAAATGTTTAAATTTATAATCATTCATAATTTAAAACTTAAAATAAACATGACATTTTTAATTTAAAAAATGAAAATGTTAAATACTTTCACAGATAGTAAATGACCCACATATTTATTTTAAAATTCTAACCAAAAAATTCAAAATGAAGTTCCAAATACTTAAATAATTATATAAAATTAACATAATCGTTATGAATTAGGTAAAAAAATAATCTTATCATTATCATTCAAAAAAAAAAAAAAAAAAACAAAAACAAAAAAAAAACAGTGTAAATTTTTCATAACAGTTTCGATTGACATTTATATTAAAATTATTAATAAAAATAATTATTAATTTAAAAAAACAAACCATTTAATAAAGTGAAAATCACGCCAAAACTTTATTCATAACTAAAAGTTAGAAAAGCCCCTCACCAGAATCCAAATTAAATCAAACCATTTTTTTTTATTTATTATAATAACGTTCAATTCCGTTTTGCGCTTTTCATTAATATGGCGGATAAACACCAGAATTGCCAACCTTATTTTTATTTTAATTATAATCATATATTAAACATACATAAAGTGCTTAAACTTTTGTGAAAACGATTTTCATTTTTTTTTTTTTTTTTTTTTTTTTTTTAACGTTCGTTAAAGTAAAAACGTTTTAATTCTTATTAAAAAGCGTGATAGTGTTTAAAATAATTATTTGTGCTAACGTTAATGTAGTTATTATGACTTATTTATTATCAAAATTTAAATTTAGTGTTGCAATTGTTGGGATTACATAGAACATGGGTAAGTTTTCATGCAATAATAATTTATAATTCAAAAAGAACAAGAAAAAAATTAAAATTTAAAACGAAAATAACTTGATTTATTATAAAGTAATAAAAGTAACGGAAAAATTATTTAAATAATTATACATGACATTAATAAAACGCATCTAACAGTTATATATGTGTAAAACGTTTATCTTTTATATCTTTCATGGGATTTTTACAATAAAAAATAAAAAATTTCAAAAAAGATTTCTTATGCATTTACAATAAAAATATTTTAAAATAATTTATAATTTATTTAATGTCGAGAAAAATATTTTATCATACAGAAAAAAAAAGAAATTGTTTTAAACATATATATATATATATTAAAAAAATGTTGAAAACTTTTTCCAATTTTCCACGTGTTTTCATAGAGAAATTAAAATATTGTCATTCTTTTAAAAAACAATTAAAAATTAATAATTTAACTTTTTCTGACAATTTTTTGTTTATAACAAATGCAAATGACATGAGTCATTGAAAAAGGTTTTTTTTTTTTTAAACTAAACTAAAAAATTAATATGAAAAATGTTTAACCTTTTAACTTTTAGTTTCAATTCTTAAAAACCCTTTTGCATCCTTATTGTAAAAAAAAAAAAAAAAAAGAAAAAACATTAAAATGACATCATTGTAAGGGTTTTCATTAAATAATTTAACATTTGTTTTTGTTGTTGAAAAATTTCTTAAAAACTTTTTCATAACTTTTAAAAAAAATTTAATCAATAATAAAAACCATAAGGTGATTAATAATTAATTATTACTATTATTTAAGGACATTTTGTCTTTAGCTATTTTTAATAATAATTTTATGATAACTTTTATTAATTTTTACTAAGTTATAAACATAAAGTAGCCATATATAAGTGTGTGTGTGCGCGTGTGTTAAGAAAATGAATGAAAAAGAAAATTCAAAAACTGTGAAATAACATTAAACTCTTGAGTATAATTTTTTAATCTAATGAAAATTTTTTTTTAATGACATTTTTTTTTTTATTTCAAGAGAAAAATTCAAAAAAACTATAATTTAAGATGTTTTGTTTGTTTGTTTGTTTTGTTTGTTTAAAAAAAAAAGTATAACGAGAAACGATGATGATGATAATTATAAAATTTTGCCTGTTTTTGACGCTCCCTAATTAATTGCATTGTGAAGTGTGTCCATTCATATCCACTTCACATTATATTAACTTTAGATTTTTCCTCATAATTTCCGTTATGCATTCATTCATTCATTCATTCATTCATTCATTCAATCATCGATTTAATGAAAAGTTAAAATCTTCAAACGTGATAATAATAATAATAATAGTGTGAAAATATAATAATAGAAAACTTTTAAAAAAATTAACACGAACGCTGATTTTATATAAAATAAAAATGAAAGTGATAATGATAACCGTACCGGAAATGACTCCCATAGCTGACCAATAAGATTTATACACTTTCGACTACATCATTTCAATTCCGGAAATACTCTCGTTCATTGTTTATCATCTATTTCAAATCATAATAATAATAATAATTCATTTAAAAAAAAAAAAATTATCTCATCCTTTTTCATTATTATTATTATTATCTTTTCAATTTTTCTTTTGCTTTTCTCTCTTTCTCTCTCTCTCTCTTTCTCTCTCCTCTTTATTTATATATTTTCCCATTCCATTCGATATAATAATAATAATTTAATTAAGAATTTTTTGTTTTTTTTCTTTTTTCCAAATTCGATTTGTTTTCCTGTCGTATTGATAATAATAATAATAATAATAAATATTTTTTTTATAAGTTAAACATTTACGTTACAAATACTTGATAATATTTCTTTTTTTTAAAAAAAAAAAACGATAATTCGTGTGAAAAGGAAATAAAAATAAAAAAAAAAAAATTATTTTAGCAACAGATGCTTTAAAGTATTAAAATATTCAAAAAAAAAAAAAAGTGGAAAAAAGTGGAAAAAAGGAAAATTTTCCGTTTTTCTTTTTAGTTTCGTAACAATAAAAACCAGTTAAAAAAAAAATTTTTTTTTTTTTCTTTAACACACGATTCAGCAGTTTATCACGTATAGTAAATCTTATTGACACTTTTCTATTTTTAAAATATTAAAAAGAAATAAGTTTTTTTTTTTTTTTGTTTCTTTTTTTTTCTTATATTATTTCTTACTCCTCGATGGGGTAGGGGGTGAGGTGAGGGATGAGGATTTCGGGTTGAGAAAACGAAAAAAGAGACACACCCTTACGTATATATATAAAAACGAAAATACATATCACGCGATTTAAATTTTCTTTTATATAGAAATGACAAAAAATTTAAATTTAAAATATTAAATAAAATAAAATTTATTGAAAATGAAATCGATGTAATTTTTTATTGTTTTTCAACGGATTTGTAAAAAAAAAAAAATTGTTCTAGAAAGTTAAAGTATTTTTTTTTTTTTTTTAAAGAAATTAATGAAAATGAAAATGGACGTTTTTTGAAAAGTTAATTTTTAAATATTTGTAAAAATTTATTTTGTTTTTATTAATCTTGTCCGGAAAAACAAAACAAAACAAAGATTAAAAGGTCAAACATTAAAAAATTTTTTTTCCCATTGAAAAATTTATTTTATTTAAAAAAATCAACTGACAAAAATGTTTATTTTATTATTAATTAACCCCCTTTTAATTTTTTTTGTTATTTAAAATTGTAATAAAAGTTCCTCCCCGATGATGAATGACGTCAAAATAGAAATTTCTAGAATATTGGATGAAAAGGTTCATTTTTCGATTATCGTGGGAGAGTACCTGAAAACCATTTCGGTAAAAACAAGACAGGAAATCGCATTCGTGTAAGATGACGAATATTTTACCCGGACTGAGAGAAATTTCTGGAAAACTCTGGAAAACATTTCTCGTTATCATAAAGTGAAAAGATGATAACAAAAATGACGTAACTGGTAATAAACCAAAACATAAAAATCGATAAAATTACGTTAAAGTCATTGATTTAATTTTTAAGGCTCCATACCTCATTATTATTATCATTATTATCATTTCGTCCAGGATTTATTTTGTTAGGTTTTCAAAAGTATTAAATTTCAAAAATATATTTAATTATCTATGATTTCAAAATTATTATCACCCCTAAATCATTTGATTTTTGACCTTAAAAACTTACAAAACTTACGCACACCCTACGGTCAGTTTTAAATTTTAAAGAAATTTCTAAAAACATTTACGAGTGTTGTAGGAAAGAAGGGGATGGGAGGGGGGTGAGAGGTGGGAAGAAGTGTTGGCTGCCCACGTGCCGTATAACTTTAACGGAAGAAAAAGGTCTGAGGGGTTTTAAAACATGGGGAGAGAGAGTGGAAGAGAGAGATAGGGAAAAACACAGTTTGATATAAGCCCCAAGATTAGAGACAGAGAAATGGGATGAAGGGATGGGAGGGGGAGTCGAAACAAGGGATGAGAGTTGAAAAAAGTAATTCAAAATAATAAATGAGCGAGCGACACCTGGTATAACAATCTAATCAGACCGGATATGGAAGACAATATTTCAAAGCACGTTTTTACCAGGGTATAAACAGATAGATATTCTTGAGAATTTTCTAGAAAAACCACTTGAAAAAAAAAAAAAAAATTTTCATCCCCTTCGGGAGAGAGGGAAAGGGAAGGAGAGGGAGGGGGGTAAGAAACATTTTCGTCACTCACTTTTCTTTTTTTCTTTTTTTTATAAAATTATTAATATTTTAAAACGCATACGAATATATACCGTGTGTAAAATAAAAAAATGTCAAAGGTCAATTTAAAAAATTTTTTTTTTTTTTATGATTTAGGACCAGAACATGTCAATTTTCATTTTTTTTTGTTGAAATAAAACTAAGGGATGAAAGAAAAAAAATAAATCTTTTTCACATGTTTTCATTTTTTTTTTTTCTTTTTCACGAACAAATCGTTCATCAAATTTTCGCCTAAAAAAAAAAAAAATGATTTATATATTTCTCCCGAAAAAAAAACAAAAACAACTTTGTAAATAAT